TCCTCGGCTTTGCGCGCTGCACAATGGGCACGAGCGCGGTGTCGTCGTAGCTCCATTCCTCCGGGCTCGTCTTGTGGCAGAGACAGAGCTCAATGCAGGCCGTAAAGATCTGCTGAGCTCCATACCCAGTCAGGAGATGCCACCAACCATGCCCCTCCGTGAAGTGGCCGAGGCCGCCGAGTCCCCGGTCCTGCAGCCATGCGCGAGTGCTCCGGAGGTGCTCGCAGAAGTAGTTGTCTGCGTTCCAAATGGCAAAGCCGAGCGCGAAGATGCCCATGCCGAACCCGAGCGTCTTGTAAAGCTTGCGTTTCTTAGACGCCGTCCTGACGCGGGCGACGGTCGCGCTGGCCGTCACGCGGGCCGTTGAAGCGCGGGCGGCGCTCGGAACCGTCCGAAGGGGGCTGCAGGGTCAGCTTTAACAAATAGAGCAGCTTGCTGCTGCTGGTTATGACAGTGTAGACGCGTTATGCTGGCCGAAAACCCGGCGCTAGAACACTTTTACGCACCCTCGGTCCGGCACCGGCGCCAAAGAGGTCGGCACCGGCCAGTGGTCGGGATGTCGAGGGCCGGCAGCTGGCGGGTGCGCTTGACGTTGGAAAAGCCGAGCGAGCGGGCGGCGGCCTTGGGGTCGGCCTCCTCGGCGAGCACCCGCGCGGTGGTGTAGAGTGTCCGGATCGTGCGGTTGAACATGGTGGTCGGGGACGATGCCGGGACGAGCAGGTGAGCTGTTCCGAGTGCGTTGCCCGCGATGCAGATGGCAGCTGGAGCAGGCTGCTGCAAAGTCGAGCAGCCCTCGATAATATCCGGCCGCCTCTCCCGAGCTGCCAAATCTGGGATAAATTGGAGAAATTACTCCCGTCAAATAATGAAGTTGGCACTCACGCGCTCTCCTCCGCCTGAAGTCAGTAGTTATTGACGTCCAGGGACGACAAGGAGAGAGAGATCGCGATCACCCTCCTGCATCAACGCCGCATCGAGCATACCCAAAAGCTTGTCGCTCATTGACAAGCATCGTTATCGGTACCATGTCGACGGAGGACTATGATGGTGCGTGGATTCAAGCCACAGGTAATTGGAAGTTAGCTGACGTGACAGAGTTCGGTAACTACATTGGTGGCGACCTAGACAGCGACGATGACTCGGACGTCGACATCGCCCCCGCCACCTCGGCTCCCGCAGCGCCGGGTCCTGCGGCGGCTGGGAGCTACGCACCGCTCGAGGGCTTCGATGATGACGAGGACGACGATGCCGAGGCGATGGACCAGGACGAGCCGTCCGGAATGGAGATGACGCTGCACGGCGTCGACGGCACGGCAGGCAATCAAGTTGTTCTGCACGAGGATAAGAAGTACTACAGCACGGCGGAGGAGACGTACGGACCCGACGTTGAGACGATGGTGCAGGAGGAGGACACGCAGCTGCTGTCCGAGCCCATCGTTGCGCCGATCAAGGTTCGCCAGTTCACCGTCCAGGAGAAGGACATGCCCGTGACGCGGTACGACAAGAATTTCCTCGTCGACATGCTCCAGTACCCCGACCAGATGCGCAATGTCATGATCGCCGGACACATCCACCACGGCAAGACGAGCCTGCTCGATGCCGCTGTGTACCAGACGCACCAGCTGACCTGGGACCCGGAACGACCAGCGCGCTACGCCGACACGCACCAGCTTGAGCGCGAGCGCGGCATCTCCCTGAAGGCCGGACCGATGAGCCTCATCCTCCCAGACAGCCGGGGGAAGAGCCACCTCATCAACTTTGTCGACACGCCGGGACACCTTGACTTTGCGGACGAGGTTGCGTGCGCCGCGCGTCTCACCGACGGTGTCGTGCTTGTTGTGGACGTCGTCGAGGGCGTTATGGCCGGTACGGAGCGGATAATCCGGAATGCGATGGCAGAGGGTCTCCCGATTGTTCTTGTTGTCAACAAGATGGACCGTCTTATCCTTGAGCTTCGTTTGCCGCCATCAGAGGCGTTCTTCAAGATCAAGCACACGATTGAGGAGGTGAACAGCGTGATCGCGTCCGTCGACCCGAGCGAGAAGTACCGGTTGTCGCCTGAGCGAGGGAACGTCGCATTCGCATCGACGCAGATGGGCTGGTGCTTCACGCTGGAGACGATGAGCCGGATGTACGCCGACACGTACGGCTCATTCGAGATCGACGAGTTTGCGCAGCGCCTGTGGGGCGACATCTACTTTGATGCCGAGCGACGAAAGTTCACGCGCAAGCCGGCCGACGTCGAGAGCAAGCGCTCGTTCGTGCACTTCATCCTTGAGCCGCTGTACAAGCTCTACACGCAGGTGCTGAGCGCGGACTCGGCTGAGCTGAAGGAGACGCTGGCCGAGCTGAGGATTACGCTCAAGCCGGCGGCGTACAAGATGGACGTCCGGCCGCTGCTCAAGGTCGTCCTCGATGCTTTCTTCGGCACCCCGACGGCGCTCGTCGACATGATCGAGCAGCACCTTCCGAGTGCGGCCGAGAATGCGCGCAGCAAGGTCGAGCGCACGTACACCGGCCCGATGAACTCTCCGATCGCCGAGTCCATGATGAACTGCGACCCGAAGGGCCCGACAGTCGTCCAGATCACGAAGCTGTTCCACACGAGCGATGCGCAGGGCTTCCGTGCGTTCGGCCGCGTCATGAGCGGAACGGTTAGCAAGGGCCAACCTGTGTACGTGCTCGGTGAGGGGTACAGCCTCGAGGACGAGGAGGACATGGTTCCGGCGATTGTGGAGGGTGTCGCGCTTGACGAGTCCCGGTATGACATCGACCTTCCGAAGGCGTACCCGGGCAACCTCGTGCTGCTCAGCGGCGTCGACGCTTCCATCAACAAGACGGCGACGATCTACGAGCGTGGACTGGACGAGGACATGTACATCTTCCGACCGATCAAGCACACCACGCAGGCTGTGCTCAAGGTCGCTGTCGAGCCCGTCACACCGGCAGAGCTGCCGAAGATGCTCGACGGTCTCCGCAAGGTCAACAAGTCGTACCCGCTGCTCACGACCAAGGTGGAGGAGTCCGGCGAGCACGTCATTCTCGGAACCGGTGAGATCTATCTCGACAGCGTGCTGCATGACCTGCGACGACTGTACAGCGAGATCGAGATCAAGGTGTCCGACCCGGTGACCAAGTTCTGCGAGACGGTCGTCGAGACGAGTGCCATCAAGTGCTACGCCGAGACGCCGAACAAGCGGAACAAGCTTACGATGATCGCCGAACCGCTCGAGACTGGAATTGCGCAGGACATTGAGGGCGGAAAGGTCACGATGAAGATGAGCAACAAGGAGCGGGGCAAGTTCTTTGAGCAGAACTACGGATGGGATCTGCTCGCGTCGCGCAACATCTGGGCGTTTGGACCGGACGACAACGGCCCCAACGTGCTCGTGAACGACACGCTGCCGAGCGAGACGGACACGAAGGCGCTCCAGTCCGTGCGCGACAGCATCAAGCAGGGATTCCAGTGGGCTACCCGCGAGGGACCTCTTGCCGACGAGCCGGTGCGCAACGTCAAGTTCCGCCTTCTCGACGCGACTGTAGCGAGCGAGCCGATCTACCGCGGTGGCGGTCAGATTATTCCGACAGCCCGCCGTGTTGCGTACAGTAGTATGCTGCTCGCGAGCCCGCGTCTGCTCGAGCCGGTCTACTACGTCGAGGTCCAGGCGCCCGCCGACTGCGTCGCGGCCGTGTACACTGTGCTCTCACGTCGTCGTGGTCACGTCACGAAGGACATTCCCAAGCCCGGTTCGCCCCTGTACACCGTCAAGGCGTATGTGCCCGTGCTTGACGCCAACGGATTCGAGACCGACCTCCGCACCGCGACCATGGGCCAGGCGTTCCCCCAGATGACGTTCGACCACTGGCAGGTCGTTCCCGGTGACCCGACCGACACATCCATCCAGCTCCGTCCCCTCGAGCCCGCCCAGGGCCAGGCTCTCGCGCGTGATCTCGTCCTCAAGACGAGGAGGAGGAAGGGGCTCTCGGACTCGATCGCCGTCGCCAAGTACCTCGAGGACGACACGGTCATTGCCCTCAGCGCGACGCACCCGGATCTCCTGGGTCAGTAGGAAACGAGGTAGAAGGAGGCAGCATCTGAGTAGCATAGAACCGTAGACTGTAATGCAACACCAGCACATCAGCACATCAGAGCAAGGAGAGTGCATTGAGGTATGAGAGGCTACAGATGGTATCAGGCGATGTTAATCTACAGCTTGCGAGGGTGAGCTCGCATTATAGCCAGCGTTCGGGCGAGCGTTCGGGAGCCGAGTCTCCGCTCAGCCAAGGGAGGGTGGCATTACGCCGACGCCTGTCGGCGGGTGGCCGTGCCGTTGTCAACAGCACTTCCGTGCCCGTATCCATGGCCATTGACGCCGTTCCCGTTCCCGTTTCCGTTGAGGTACTCGGCATCCTTCTCCATATCCCTCCTCGGCTTTGCGCGCTGCACAATGGGCACGAGCGCGGTGTCGTCGTAGCTCCATTCCTCCGGGCTCGTCTTGTGGCAGAGACAGAGCTCAATGCAGGCCGTAAAGATCTGCTGAGCTCCATACCCAGTCAGGAGATGCCACCAACCATGCCCCTCCGTGAAGTGGCCGAGGCCGCCGAGTCCCCGGTCCTGCAGCCATGCGCGAGTGCTCCGGAGGTGCTCGCAGAAGTAGTTGTCTGCGTTCCAAATGGCAAAGCCGAGCGCGAAGATGCCCATGCCGAACCCGAGCGTCTTGTAAAGCTTGCGTTTCTTAGACGCAGGCAGCTTCGAGATCAGGTACGCGCTGCGCAGGCAGGAGGAGATCATGATGAACGCGAAGGCGACCTGGTGGTAGACCGGGTTCGGGAGACAGATGCTGCTTGTTAGCGCGAGAATTATCGGGCAGGGGAGTGAGACTAAGGCCCGCAGATCAGATGGAGCGCTGCACCTGCGCCCATGCGCGGCATGCGATCGGGATAAGATCAGGAGCGAGCGGGATGATGTCTGATGTCCGCTCGTCACTGTTATCGATCTCCGCGCTATCGCTGTTTTCGATCTCCGCAAGCGGCCAACTCCGTAGCTTCCAAGCTAGCAGCCATAACTGCTATTTCGGGCCGTCCGCCAGTGTCGCAAACATTGAGCGGAATCTCTGCGCCCATCTGTGATCCACCCACCATCGCCTCACCCGCAATGAGACAAACGTGGTAACTCACTAGCTAACGGTCACGAAGATGCACCAGGCGAGCACAGCGAGCGGGCCGGCGATACCGAAGCGCGGCTTGAAGCCCGGCAGCGTGTCGAGGACGAGGTACGCGGCATAGCTCGCGACGTAAATCATGGGCAGCTCGTCCATGAGCTGCCACTCCCACTTGAGCGTGCCGTGGAAGCCAAAGCTGCCAATGCCGATGCCGGCGAGACCGAGGTGCACGAGCGAGTACCGTTTCGGCGCGCCCGCCTTCCAGGTCGCCCAGGCGCAGTAGAGACCGAGGAAGATGACGGGCACGTTCGTGAGTGTGTTGACGAGCTCGGCGATGTACCAGCTGTAGACATAGTTGAGTTCACACCAGTCTATCGTGCTCGTTACCGGGCCGTGCCATCCCGTAATCTCATCTGTCGTGCGGAGAAAGTCGAACGCGCCCATGTTGAGTCGCGGAGATGTCGAGAAGGAGAGTGAGAGTAGGTCGGTCTGGGACTGAGATGGAGAAGGATGGGACCGAGGTGCGCTGGGATAGAGTCGGACGCCCGCTTGTCGTGTATTCGAGAGGAGTGTGTGAGAGGAGTATGAGAGCGTGTGTCGCAGAGATGCGAGATGGCTTGAAGTGAAGATGGGAACCAACACACCTCGGGTAGGGGGAGGGGTATATCCTTGTCCTGTGTCGCGATTACCGCACTGTCAGGTCACAGGTGAGGCCGGGCCAAAGCAGACTCTGGCGCGTGATGGATTTTGACCGAGCTGAGCGGCTCGAGAAGCAACGCTGGGCGGGGCTGACGTGGGTACGCGCACCCGGGGTGACCGGCCGAGGTCCCGGACGGTAAAAATGGCTAACTGCGTCATTGCAATGTTGGGGTCCCTTTCCAGTCTCGTCCACGTGCCCTGACCCGCGATAAGCCATCCATCAACTGTCGACATTTTGCCCTATCGAGAACCACTCAGAAGCTCGGAAGCCACAGTGGCGCTCCTGGCGTTGGTGACAGGGGAAGTGACTACTATGCATGCTGGGTCCTAGATCCTGGGACGCGTCGCTGGTTCTTGATGCGATGGCGACATTGAACGTCGCACCGGAATTTTGGCCAGCTGACAATGAACGATGAGAACACATACAGATGGCAAGATAGTATGAGGGACGGGCGGGCCACATGACCTGTGCCATGTTAGTCGGACTTCCGCCAATCGGTCCTTCGATGCCTTTGGCGCGCTCATGGCTTCCAACTCCGTCTCCTCCACCACCACGCTCCCACTTGCTGCCCATGGCGCGCTTGCGACCACCACGAAGCGCCCGTGCACTTCGCCTCATCTATTTATGCGACTAGGATTACCTCATATTGCGTGTCAGTGCACTGCGGCGATGCATTCAAGCACCCCGCGCATCACACAGATCGCCCCGTTCACAGCGCTGATCAATGCTGAGGACGTTATCTCTAATCCAAATTGCATGAAAATTACACTGCTTGCACTTGTCCAGTCTATAGTACGGATCTGATATTCTTTCTTTTCGTGACACGGCGTGATACTCGCTCCGCGGAGGTCGCAGCGCTCAAAAACGCTTACTCCTTGGCGACAGCCGGCTCGGGGACGGCCTCCTCCTGGGGGACGATGCCGCGCCTTTGTCCCGCGCGGAGGAAGAAGTCGCGGACAGCGAGACGCATCTCGGGCTGCACGTCGCGGAGGAGTAAGTCCGCAACGAGGGGGTAGAACGTGTGGACATGCTCGTCAAAGGCGTTGTCGTCAAAGTCGGCAACGCCGCGGACAATGTCGCTAACGACCGGAGACCAGGCGGCAATGTTGCGCGGCTGGCTCGCGGCGTCGATCGCGATGAAGTCGCGCGTGACCTCCTGTCCCAGCGGGACCAGGCGGTCGAGCACGCCTCCACGCACGCCGATGTGCGCCTCGCGCGGGTCGCGGTACATCCTCAACAGGGCCGTGATGAGCGTCGCGGCGGAAGAGGACTCCTGCTTCAGCAGGTTCGGGAGCTGCTTCATGAACCCGACCTTCCAGAGCTTGACGCGCAGATCCTTGTTCGCGTTGAACTTGCGCGCGAAGCGCCACGAGTCGTCCAGCACACCCATGAAGCGGAGCAGGTGCTCGGCGGGGATCGTGTTGTACACGCCCTCGTTCTGCAGCAGCTCGTGCGTCGTCTCGATGAGAAGCAGCTGCAGGACGCACTTGACGATGATCGTCTTGAAGATTCGTCGCTGCTCGCCGTACGTGATCTCACCGAGCGCGGGCGGGTCGTTCTGCACAGGCTCGAGCGGGGCGGGAGCGACAAACTTGTTGAACGGCTGGTCATCGTCGACGTAGTCCGCCGGCGGCTTGCGGTCCGTGCTGAGGCTCGGGTCGAACAGGTGGTACGCCGTTGTCGTGCGGAACAGCTGCACGAACGCCGTGACAATGATCTCCCAGTTCTCCGCAGAGAGCTTGGTGACGTTGCTCTCGAGCAGCTGCTGGAAGCAGCTGGCGCCGATACGCGCGAGCGTGTCGTTCTCCTGGCAGATACACGCGATGAGAATGTCGAGCACACCGTCGAGGTACACTTGCAACGTCTCAAAGTAATACGTGTACAGGTCGATGAGGTCGCGCAGCGCCGAGATCAGCGTCGTCGACAGCCACACGCTCATGTCCTCGGCGCTCTTGAACTTAACGAGGTTCGAGTTGCTGAGCACGCCAAAGATCGGGAACAGCGTCTGCTGGCAAATCGTGTTCCAGAACTCGATGCTGAAGTTCTGCCCGTGCGCCTTGAGAGTGCCGAACAAGCAGTCGAGCGCAACGCGGCGCACCTCGAGGTCCTCACCCGTCATGATGATATCATAGAACGCGTTGAGGACCGGAAGCCAGTACCTGAGCATGGGGTCGTCCTGCGGGTTTTGGCTCTTCGCCTTGCCGTTCGTGAGCTCGCTGCCAGCGACGGGGATGACGTCCGGGATCTCGACAATCTTGGGCACGAGCCCCTTGAGCATCTCGATAGCCTGCAGACTGATCTTCTGGAATTTGGTGACCTTGCAGAAGTCGGTGAGGCAGGCGGCTAAATCGGCGAACGCGCCGTAGCGGGCGACGAGCGCAAAGTGCTCGCGGTACACTAACGTGACGAGCTCGAAAGCGTAGTTGGCGACGCGCTCGGTCATGACACGGGATGCAGCGCTGAACACGCTGAACATCGTGCGCCAACCGGAACGCAAATTCTGGACACGAGCCTGGAGCATCTGCTGGAGACACTGGAGGACCATTTCGCGAGCGTCGGTGTTGACGTTGTGCACCATCGTGTACTCGAACGGCCTGAGGAAGTCCTTCTGGAACTGGAAGTGCGTCAACTCCTCCTTCTGCAAGAAGTTCATGGCGAGCTGGCGCAGAGCGTCGAGAGCGAAGAAAGACACGTTCGGGTTGTTGTGGCAGCACACTTGGTTGAAGTGCTCTCCGAGAATGTTCCAGATGTTCGACCACTCGAGACGAATACGGCCCATGTTGTAGTACGAGATCTCGACCAGCTTCTGCAGCGAGAACATGCGCGGGCGCGGTGTCAAGCTTGAAGCCTGGATCTCTTCCCAAGACACCTCGCTGAGCGCGCGGACGAAGTCGACGATGGCAGAACCCGACAGGTTCTGGCTCAGCGAGAAGACCTTGTCGGCGGCGACAGTGACCTGCGACGAGCGCGACTCCTCGGCGAGCTCCTCTGCAGGTCGCTTCTTGTCCTTCTTGCTGTTCGTGCTCTTCTTCGAAGCGGTCGACGCCCGGCGGTTGAGGTCGGGGACGTCCATGCCGCTCGAGATCAGCTGCATGCGCTCCAGCTGCGAGACGCAGGTCAGGACATCCTTCCACGAGCCCTTCAGATTGTTGCCGTCCGTAACAGCAATATCCAGCAGGGTCTTGATCGCCTCCATGTTCTTCGGCTTCATCTCGATGATGTTGTTCAGGAAGGTGAACTTGGCAAGCGTACCGACAAACGCATTGCGCTCAAGCTCCATGTCAAAGACGCAGCCGATGCGGATCGCGCTGCGAAGACCCTCCAGGCACTGCTCGACGACCTCCATGTCCTCAGTCTCCTGGAGCTGCGCTGAGAGACCAGCGAGGAAGGGCATCCACGCAACCTCGAACATAAAGCGGACGTGCTCGATGCGCGAGGCGGAGTAGAAGTGGTCCGCACCGATTCGGCCACGACGCTGGGAGCGAGCCATGCTCTTGAGCATCGCCTCGGTCTTGTTGGCCATGTTCTCCGACTGAGCCAGGAACGCCTCACGCTGGAGATCACGACCAACAGTGGCAAGACCAGCAGGTCCGCTGATGGCAGCCTCCGCCTCGTCCTTCATCTTGATCTCGTTCGTCTGAATCTCCTCGTAGATCTCGCCGAGAAGCTCCTCGGGCAGGTCCTCTCCGTTGTTGATGCCCCTGTTGTTCTTCACGAAGTCCTCCTTGGTCATGCGCTTCGTCTTGAGGTTCTTGTTATGCTGATCAGTGTTCAGCATGATAACAGAGAACGCCAGGATGTACGCAGCGTCGGCGTTGGCAAAGACCGTATCGGGGTTCTGGTGCAGGTATCGCTCGGCAAACTTGAGCATGAATCGGTCGATCTTCTGCGCCTCACCAGGAAGACGGAACGTCTGCAGGTACGCCCTGAGAGCGTCGGTGAAACGAGAAGAAGCGAAGTCCTGCATGTCGACGAAGGCGTGCATGGTAGCAATGTTCTCCTCCTCGCCCTCACCGAGGTACTCTCCGATGACCGCCTTGCTGAGACCATCGTTGGCGAGCAGGAAGTGCGCGATGTCGTGCGAGGAGTGGCTGGGAATGAAACCGTTTTGAACAAGAAACTCGATACCGCGCTTGGGGCGGAAGTTGAACTTCTTGATACCGTCCTGCAGCATCGTCTTTCGCATCTTCTCGCTTTCAAGCTTGTTGACGTCGTCGTCTCCGATCGGAATGTCAGGGGTGACGCTCTGCGATGGGTACCCCGACATTGATCTCCGCGAGCCGTCGCGGGTGGGAGTTGTCGACAGCTCCGAGGTCGAATTGCGGCGGTCATCATCGACGCTCTGACGAGCGAGGTTCTCGTCACCGTGCTGTTTCGGCGTGCTCGACCAGGCGACCAGCGACTTGAGAGCAGCAACAAGACACTCGAGAGACTGTCGGCGGAGCTTAATCTCAGGAGAAAGTCCGGCGTACTGCGGAGATTCCTGGGCGAGCGCCGAGGTACTGAGTGACGGAGGAATTGACGGGCCATGAGATCCAGAGGCATGTTTGGACGAGCCAGCCTGGAGCTCCTCTTTCGTCGGAGGGGCGAAGTGCGTCTGGCCGATCTTCGAGACAATGTTCATGAGCTTCTCATAGATGTTCTCTGGCGCCGACCGGTCACAGTCGTAGTTGAGGTAGATCTCCACCAGCGCCTGAGGGTCCTGGCACAGGCGGATGAAAACGCCGAGGATCAGCGACTTTTGCCTGATGGTCGAGTGTCGCATCTCAAGAATAGGGATGAAGATCTCGTTCATGAGAACCTCAATCTCTTTCTGAAGGTCAGCTCGATTCGCTGTACCGACAAGCTTACCTTGAGAGGGGCGCGCATCGACTTCAGGATGCACCAGAAGATCTCGGTCGACAGTTCGAACACCTGGTTCACCGGGGAGACGGCGTTGCGAGACAGACTCTGACACAGATACTGCTTAGTAGCCTGAAGGAACGGGGTTTGCTCGGCCGAGGTGTTGGAAGGGATGGTGATGGAGGGGTCGTAAAACATGTCGGCGTGCGACCGGAGGATGGTGAGGACGAGGTGCAGGGAGAGGAGCTTGGAGCGCATCGCATGTGATCGGAGGTCCAACTCGGCCTCGGTAACCAGCGACTTCATGCTGAGCTTGCATAAAGCACGGAACACGAGGAAGGCATCCTTGACGAACAGCTCCTGTGTCGGAATGGGGCGACCTTGGTCGTCAGTCCCCTCGTTGGGCACGTCCCCGTCACCTTCCGGAACGTCTAGAGCGTCGCCATTCGGCACTTGGATCGAGATGGTCTGCGACGGCAGTTGAGCTTGCGTGCCATCCCGTGATCGAAGGTCGTCACCAAGGCGAGCCGGCGCGACAGTCACCTCGTCGTTCGGGTTCGGCTGCGAGAAGCTCTCCAGCGTCAGGGCGTTGTCCTGAGCCTGCTCCTCTGCATTGTCACCGGCACGCTCCTCCGCGTCGGCCATATCATTCGGCGAGGGAGTTCCCGGGGCAGAGTCCGGTTGCGGGGTTTGGCCGCCGTTCATCGTCTTCCTCTTGTCCTCAGGTCGCTGGACACGGCTGAAGATGTGGTGGACCATCTGCGTCAGACCACCCTGCGCGATAACCTGGTTGTTGGTGTCGTTGCTGAGCAAGAAGACGTTGTACACCGTTCGGACAGCCTTCAGCAGACTGCTCTGGTGGACCAGCATTCCCGGGTCTGTGCTGAGAACGATGGCCATCAGCGCCTTCACGACCTGAAGGGCAACCTGTGGCGGGGTGTTCTCGGTGTAGGCGAGGGTAATCGTGTGCGTGATGAGGTCGGGAAGAGGCGACATTCCCGGCGGCGGTCCGTTCGGCTCGGAGAAGAACGAGTGTGAGATTAGTTTGGCCAGGAGGTCGAGACTGGTGACCAGGATGGGGACGCTCGTCGTTTGAGGGTTGCTAATCGCTAGTCGCAGCGGCTCGAAGATCTCACGAGGGTGCATAAATGCGGCGTTGCCACCATCGGCGCCTCCCTCACAGAGCTGAAGCGCACGCTCCGCGGCAGCCTTGAACGACGCAGACTTGCGGGCCTCCTTGCTGTTGACCAGAACTTTGAGCGGAGGAGTGATGAGAATCGATGAGAGCTGAGGCGCATGTCCACCGGGGTGCTGGGTCAAGCTGATGGTCGTTGACGTCGACGACCTTCGTGAGTGATGCTGGGCCGTGCGAAGCATTGCCGACGGAGGGCGCGATCCAGGCGCAGACATCCGGGGAGTCGACGAGGTTCTCGGTACCGGAGACGGAGACGGCACCTCATAGGGCGACTGGGCAGAAGGAACGGTAGGGGTCGAAGGCTCAGCAGGAGTGTCCACGGTCTCGGACTGCGCTAGGACATCGCCCTTAGCCTCTTCTCCCTCGGTTTCTCCATTGGTCGGCTCCTGCTCCTGCACTGGCGTCAAAGCAACAGAGTGCAGGCCATCGTCGGGCTCAGACACGATTAACGGCGGAGGTGGAGGCACGTCGTCGGCTACTGGGGCGCTGACGCTTTCGCTGACGGGCAGTTCGGATTGAGCAGCAGGCTCGGCGTCGTGCTCCAGCTCGGCTTCAGACGAGTCATTTTTTGGGGGCGGTGGGGGAGGGGGGTCGTCGAGAGGGATCTCTTCGGTTTCGGCGAGGTCGTCTGTCTCAGTCTCAGCCTCAGGCTCGATAGGAAGGATCTTGTTATCGGCGTGATCGGTGGGAGGCTCAGAGGCGGAGACGGCGTCGACAGAGGTGTCCTCCTGGGGCGGAGGGGTCGAGTCGATGTTTTGTTCAGCCATGGCGACTAACTGGGTGGTCCGGCCATGGGACTGCGGAGTAGAAAGATGAGAGGTCCAAGTTGACATCGACGAGTTCTGAGCCGTGTATAGGGGACGGCGCGCGTAGGCCATCTACAGTGGACGCGTGGAGGTCGTCCCTCCCCTCACAGCCGGACTCTCGTCACTTTGCTTCCGTCCATCGCTCTCCGCCGCCGCCGTCTGCCCCTGCATGCCGTGCATGCCAAGCCGTGCACCGCAGCCGGACTTAGGCAGCCAGCTGAACATGCCGAACAGCCAAGCATGGAAGGCGCAGACGGTGTCGTATAGACCATGGCGGTCTCACTATGCATTCACATATACAAAGGCTGTTTACAACGGATCGATCTATGCAAAGCTCTCCAGTCCTCCCATCCAAGCTGAGCGTGCGTCTCGCGCCACCTTGTCTCGCACAACGCGGTTCGACAACGTAGCCAGCTCCTTGGACAGCTGCGAAACCTGCACATAGCGGTCCTTCTGCTCGGCACGGCTGTAACGTTAGCTATTAGGTATGAAGTTGTGAGCTCACAATCGGTTCAGCACAATAATGCCTTGGATCTGATCGATCTTGCCCGGGATGCGACCGTCGAGGATCAGAGATACCACAAGGTTTTCCACCTCCTTGACAGGAAGGCTCAGGGACTGTCCGGTAAGCTTTGTCTACTAAGAAAGCTCACCTGAGCCAAGAAGTCGATCTTCATGCGCGTGTACGGCTTGACGATATCCACGATATACTGTTTGCGCAGTGATCGGAGCAGATCCTCGATGAAGTAACGAATGAAGGGGTCGGCAGTGATGGTAGAGGCGTTTACTGTCGTTAGCTTCTCCTCCGACACGCGAGCTCACCTTTGAGGATTCTTTCGGCTTCCTTCACGTCACGCGCCTGGTACGCCGAGACAAGCGATGTCATTGCGACGATTTGCGGGTCGTTTCTATACCTGGGCTGTCAGCTCTTGGAACGTGGGATTCACTCACGGCTGGGTTTCCTGCGAATCGAAGGGGTTGATCTCGCTCCCCATAAGCATGTAGGCCAGAACGAGGTACTTCAGGACCTGAATACGCTGAGATGATCCGCATTCGTCGTACTGACGGAAGGACTCGAAGAGGTCCGTTGACGCCTTGTCCCACGCCTCTGTTCCTGTCAGTAGCCGGTCAAGTGAGCGACTCACTCTCCATCATCCACATCTTGCCTCCGCACTCCCTAATCACACCCATGACGCGTGGGTGGGGGATGGCGTTGTGCACCTTCATGGCCGCGTCGTAGATCTCCTTCTGCTTGCGGGTCTCCTTCAGATCACTGTACATCTGAATTTCGATAGCGTACAGCTCCAGAACTGCCAGTTAGCGGATGAAGATCAGTTACACCTACGAAGAGACCCTTTGGTTTGATCTTCGGAGGCTGACGTGCTTCCCGGCTCGCAGGTAGCGTGGAGTGCCTCGAGAACAGGTGTCAAGCGAGCGTACTCCTTGCGGTCCAGCCACAGCTTGGCCAGCTTCAGCTTGCACTTCGTAGCCAGTCGCTTCTGTTAGCGACGTCAAGCGTTGGTTTCTCACCTCATTTTTGGCTTCCTCGCACGCGACACGGGTTACCTCGTAGAACTCCTCCAGGGTGTCCAACGGGACATCGGGCGATCGAGAAGCGTACTGCAGTAAGCTACGGGATCGTGTAAAAGTATACCTTTCCTTCACCTCCAACGTAATCGAGGATGTTGTTGATCGACTTCTCAGCGTAATTACGCGTTACTGCACTCTGAAAGTCAGCAGAACTCTGAGCTGCCCAACCGACCTTCGTGTATCCCAGCAGCTCTCGGTACGTCTTCAGCGCCTCTTCGGGCTTCCCAAGGAAGAGATAGTTCATCTTAGTCATCTGCTTAAGAGCTTTAAATCCCCTATCTGTCAGACCAAACACACAAGTCGAAACCTACCACTCGCCCTTCTCTCCCTGCTCGTCGACAATGCTACGGAATGCCTTCAAGGCGCCTTGGGGATCGTCCTCCTTGAGAGCTGTCTGTAAGCTAGGAAATGCACTGGCGATGGCTTACCCTTGGCCTTGTAATACTGGTTCTCGACGTCGCCGCCATCATCCTCCATGTCGGCATCATCGTCGTCATCGTACTCGAAGTCGTAGTCCTAGCACAGTTAGCGGGAGGCAAGTGGAGGTCCAATTGGGGTTACCTCACCTCGTCGAGGTCCTGAGTATCAGCAGAGCAAGCGGCAATGAACTCACATCCATCATGAAGTCGTCACCATCGTCAGACATGTTGGGCGGGTCGCTGTGCGGACTTGCTGAAGCGTTCGCTGTGAGAGCTAAAATGCAACAACAGACTAGAGCGGTAGTTGCTTGCGGGTGGCCATCGATGACGGCAGGTCATTGATGAGGCACGTGGGGAAATGGTTCCGCTATGATGAGGGGTGAGCATGGATCCACCAGGTCCCCGGAATCGATAACAGCCCCCTTGACCCCTTGATTCCACTCCTGGTATCGACGGCAACGACGGCGACGGCGAAGTCTTCTCCCAACCAGCTTCAGCCAGCATCCCCGACACGACCTCTCCTATGCACCGGAGAGAGGGGGTACTCGGCACATCCACTACCACACATTCATCCAGCCTCGCCCACCCAGTCACTCTCCGTCATGGCAGCCCAACCACCTTCCCTCCAATACGTTCGCGACGGCGGATCGACGTCACAGCAGCTCACATACCCCGCTCATCCGTATGACGAGGAAGATCACGATTATGATCACGACGCCGACATGCACGACGAACTCGACGAGGAAGATGTCGAGGGAGTTGCAGCATTCCAATTCTGGACAGCCAAACGTCATATGGGCCGGAAAGGCAAGAGCAAGGCCGATGATGAAACAGCTCTGCCCTGGCGGTTGCGTTCTCGTCTGAAGACTGTCAACGCTGGATTGTTTCTGTGTCTGAACATTGGCGTCGACCCTCCCGACATCGTCAAGACCAACCCATGCGCCAAGACTGAGTGTTGGGTTGACCCTACGACGCTACCGTCTAACAAGGCTATCGAGGCGATCGGCAGAAGTACGTGGCTAAGCTCAGTAGCTCTTTGGAAGCTAACAGTCAGATCTCCAGCAGCAGTATGAGACTCTGAACCCCAAGGTTCGCTACAAGGTCGTGAGTATTGACAGTGTGACAGTGGGCGAGCTATGGAATCTGACAACAGTGCCTGGATCCGTCAATTGAGGAGACCAAGAAGGTGTGCGTGAATCTCCGGAAGAACGCTCGCGACGAACGAACATTATTCTATTACAACGGACACGGCGTGCCCAAACCCACTAACGGTGGAGAGATTTGGGTGTTCAACAAGAGTGAGTCTACGGTGTCGGGCGCCTTCCTCTAACGCCCAGGTTACACACAGTATATTCCTGTTAGTTTGGTCGACCTCCAAGAATGGCTCGGCAGTCCGTGCATTTATGTGTGGGAGTGCTCCGGGGCTGGGAGTATCATCAGCAACTTCAAGCAGAGTGCCAGGCGGAGAGACGAGGAGCTGAGACAAGCCCATGCCGCGCAGGGCCACGACATGCCTGGCTCGCTCTTCTCTGAGTCAATACACCTGGCCCCCTGTGCCGCCAACCAGGTGCTGCCCATGTCGCCTGACCTCCCAGCCGACCTGTTCACATGCTGTCTGACATCCCCGATCGAGACGGCGCTGCGGTTCTTCGTGCAGCAGGACCCTTTAAAGCGCAACATCAACAGCGGCAGCGACGACCCGCGCTCTCGCTTGACAGTCGACATGGTCATGCGCATTCCCGGTGACCTCAAGGACCGAAGGACGCCGCTTGGTGAGCTCCAGTGGATCTTCACTGCAGTCACAGACACTATCGCCTGGCTCTCTTTCCCGCGTGACACGTTTATGAGACTGTTCCGTCAAGACTTGCTGGTCGCCGCTCTGTTCCGAAACTTCCTCCTCGCCCAGAGGATCATGACGACGTATCACTGCACGCCCATGTCTCATCCGGAACTGCCGTCGACACACAACCACCCACTGTGGGATTCTTGGGACCTCGCCGTCGATGGCTGTTTGGCCCAGCTGCCTGAGCTGCTCGACCTCGAGCAAGCCCGCGAGAACGGTCTGTCCACGGCACCGCCGCTTAGCACCTACCGGCCGTCGCTGTTCTTCGCACAGCACCTGCAAGCGTTCGAGGTATGGCTGCAGCACGGTGGAGGATCGGCACAGAACAAGCTTTCCCGCTCGGCGCCTCAGAAGGAGCCAGAACAGCTCCCGATCGTTCTACAGGTTCTTCTGTCACAAGCGCATAGACTGCGAGCACTGATCCTGCTGTCCCAGTTTGTCGATCTCGGTCCGTGGGCTGTCAACATGGCCCTTTCGATCGGCATCTTCCCTTACGTTCAGAAGCTCCTGCAATCACCAGCGGCGGAGCTCAAGCCTGTGCTCATTTTCATCTGGGCGCGTATTTTAGCCGTGGACAAGTCGTGCCAGATGGATCTTCTGAAGGAGAACGGTTACAACTACTTCGCCCAGATCCTCGCGCCGTACCCCGTGTCGGGGCAACCTCTCGTCATTCCGAACGCCAACGAGCACAGGGCCATGTGTGCCTTCATCCTTGCGATGCTGTGTCGCAATTTCCGTGCGGGACAATCAGCATGCTTGTCGTACCAGGTTTTCGATCACTGCCTCGCCCGACTGCAGGAGGACGACTGGTTGCTTCGCACTTGGTGCCTTCTGTGCATTGCGCAGATGTGGGCAGACAACGACGAGGGCAAAGCGATGTGTATGGTGCACGGAAGGCAGGAGATCATGATGGCCGCCTTACGGAATACGTCTGTCGAGGTGCGCGCCGCCGCCCTGTACGCATTCGGTACCTTCCTCGGCGCCTCCAGCGCGCCCGTCGACTCGCAAGAGTTCAAGGGAGGTGGCGGCATGGGTGCCCAGCTGGGTATCTCCGAGCACCAGCAGCTGGAAGTTGAGGCTGGATTAGCCTATGCGTGTATGATGACGGTCAAGGAGGACGCGAGCCCGATGGTACGCAAGGAGCTGGTCGTCGTTATCTCGTGCATCGTTCGAGAATGGCGGGGATGGTTCGTTGCGGCCGCCTGGTGCTACTACGAGCAGGAGGCTGCCCTTGCTGGTTCCAGCGCTGGCTCTGACGACGATCCCGACATCGTTTCGGAAGCTCTCGAGCAGTGGGTGTCGAACGACCAGGTTTATCCCGAAGCGCATCAGGTCAACCTCACGCTCCTCAGCTCCTTCAAGACGCTCTTTGAGACCATCCTTGACCTTTCAGTTGATCCTCATCCGGAAGTCGCTGGCATGGCGTCCACTGTTGTCGACTATGTCGTCGCGCTTCTCCTCGGGTCGGCCTTCAACCGGGTTCCTGGGACCGCTATCAGATCGATGAACAGGCCGCGAGTCGGAGTACGATTCCCGCAACCGGCCGCCCCCGTTGACCAGCGCGCGCCGGCGTCACCGGCCAACGCCAAGCATGACCAGGCATCGATGAATTCGAGTAACGGTAGCGGAGGCTTGAAACGTAATTCTTCCGTCGCTGGGGCTCTGCGAAGCCTGGCTAGCATGACTGGCTTCCTCACCCCTGACACGCCCGAGCCTCCGCAAACGCCAGTGGAGCCGGTTACTCGCACCGATGTCGAGCAAGCACAGACAGGCGCGTCCTTTTACAAATCGCCCTATCCGGATGCCGGTCATGAGCGCGTTCTTCCCGAGGGAATGTCCCGATCCGGGAACACGCTCGGTACCCAGGTCAATCACGGCATTGATCCCTCACCGGTTCAGGCCGTCTCGGTTATTGAGGCGCTCGTCGAGGAGGACATGGAGCGGCTGCGACACCGCCGCCTGCGTGGATCGCAGGCTGGTGGCGACGCTGACGGACGCCTGGCGAACAACGGATTAGCGCGGCCGTCTGATCTCGGCTTGGGCATGGTCGCCGCTGAGGTCAAGGACGACGTGCTGCCGCTCCGCTCTGGATTCTTTGACTGGGCTGTCGAGTACTTCCGCGAGCCTCAGATGAAGGCGCCGGACAACGAGGAGCCAGGCTCAGTGACGTACAACCAGCAGGCGTGGCGCCATGTTCGCAACGAGGCTCAGATTGAACGGTCAAGAGTCAACGAAGAGTACGCCGCTCGCAATCGCTGGGACGCGGACGCAGGTACGCTCCACAACGACGCCTGGCCGTTGCAGCTGGCCTTCCACGCCCACGACCCTATTTTAGCAGTCACGGATGATGAGGACAAGATTTGGTAAGCTGAGGGAGTCAGGATCTGAGCTAACCCAACAGCATCTGGGACTGGCAGGCTCGCACTAAGATGAACAAGTTCTCGAATCAAAATCTCCCGGGCTCGTCGATCTCAAGTGTGCACTTCATCAACGAGACAGCGTCAAGTCTGATGCTGACTGCATCGACCGAGGGCAGTATCCGCATCTGGCGTGACTACGACCAGCCGGGAGAAACCGCGCTCGCGTCGACGTTCCGCGCGGTCAGCGATATTTTCCCCGTTGGTCACCACAGCGGTGTTCTGACAGCGTGGGAGCAACAAAAAGGTCACCTCCTTGTCGGTGGCGACATGCGCGTCGTGCGACTCTGGGACGCCACTGTCGAGCGACACATTCGCGACATTGCCACGCAAGCCGGCGCAAACCTCACCGCGATCAGCGCGGACGAGCCTGACGGAAACGTCTTCGTGGCTGGCTTCGGTGACGGTGTCGTGCGTCTCTTCGACAAGCGTATGGAGGACGGTAGCAACGTTGTCCTGCGAACATGGCGAAAGCACCACACATGGATCCAGAGCGTGCACCTGCAGCGCGGCGGGCATCGCGAGCTCGTGACAGGCAGTATGAACGGCGACGTGCGAATCTGGGATGTGCGTGCTCCGGACACACCGCTGTACGAGCACAGCGTGCAGCCGCAGGGTCTGCAGGCGTTGGCGGTACACAGCGGAGCGCCCGTGTTTGCAACAACCTCGGCGCCGACAAGCCGCGCAACGCGGCAGCGTCTCGTCGTGCAAGGGTTCCAAAATCCGGAGAAGCCCAAGCGCCTTTCGGCCATCGACATTACGCTCGCGCCCTCGTACGGCGTCCCGAGCCGTGCGGGTACGATGCCCAGCGCAGCGAGTCTCGTGTTCCATCCCGTCGAAATGGTCCTCGCCGCCGGCGGGTACGACTCGTCGGGCAACGTGCGCATGTTCAAGTGCCGTGTCCCAGAGGGCCCACACTACGATGACGAGCCGCGCTCGAACGGCATCGTGCAGCACTTTTAGACAACTTAAAGTTTAGGTAATTAGCATGTAGTGATATAAGAGCATAGGATAGTTGCATGCAAGATTGGAACGAGTGCTCTCTCTGATGAGGTCGCGTGCAGCGAGAGTGCGGGGTAAGTTTGGACCACCACAATCGAGCAGAGTGCCGTGCACGTGATGCATGTCCTCTACTCACATCTCACTCCCTCCGCACCGCTTCCATTCCTGGTGATTCTGGTGCGGGAACCCGGGAACCTGAGTAACTGAGGACCTGGGAAAGCAAGGGTGAGCGAGAAGTGTGGCACAACTCTGCATTGTCACCAACGCAAGGTTGTACCTGGCCAGTGTACCTTCGTCAGATGTCCGTGCCGACCGCGGCGTGTCCGTGCCTCGATCCGAAGCCATCTTTAGAGGATGTCTGAATCGCAGCACACACCGACACAGCGGTGTCAGCCACTGATACAGTGGAGACGAGTTGCTCGGGCAGGGCGGGTTGCGGCGGCCTGCAGCTTTGCAGGGCGATGTGCGGGATGGCGGACGAATGAGGGGGAGAGTGAGAGGGAGAGTGAGGGGGTGGCGGGCCTGGCGGGCGCCGAGTTCCTCGGGGGGCGTCCCTCATGGCGCTGGCCGGCGCTGGATGGCGTTCGTCCGCGCAGCAGTGGCGCCGCCGCGGACGCCAGTGCATGCCTGCATGCCTGTCATATCTGTCATGCCTGTAATCTGTATAAGACGCCAGCGCGCCAGTACGCCAACAGACACCCATATGCCAGACATCCGAATCCACAGCTCCCAAGGAGCCCTGGCAGCGATGCGCCTGCGCGTTGCTCGGCGCACACTCGTGCCACCATTACAGTGACTCTGACAACGGTGGATCAGTCTCACCCAGTCCATCGCATCGCCCCTCGCACTCTTGTCGGGCGAGTGGTTCCGACGAAGCTGGCGGACGCGCAGACGCGCGCTCGTCACGAGCTCAAGGGCTCAGTGGTTCGCGGGCTTATGGGCTTGTCTGAGACTGGTTGTGTGGCCACTGACCACACGGTGAGAAGCCGAACTGGCCGAATCTGGCGATGGGCCGATCCCCGATACAGCCTGTGTGCAGGTAGAGGGAAGAGGTAAGCGCCGAGCGTCACTTGTGAGGCGTGAAGGGTTGACGCTGCATCACGCAGGTACGCAGAGGCGGTCATGTGACAGGCCGTGCACCTCACGCTACGCGCTACGGCTGCCGTTCCTGCCAGTGGGACCGCACCCCCAATGCATCTCTACGCTCACCCCCCAGCAGCCTTCATCGGGTCGCTGCCGGTGCGGCGACAAGTCCACCGGGCAACCCCTGCTCGGTGGCTCGGTGGGCAAGTCCGATGTCTCACCACCGACCATGCCACGACCACACACACTCACAACCACACGGCCACACGGCAAGTGTATGCGATCGGTGTCCGCAGGCGTTCCTCGTACCTTGTCTCTATTAGGGTGTACCTCGTTCCTGCTGTCTCCTCCACACCTGCAGTTTCTTACGTTTATGTGCCGTTCCTGTGCGCGTGCAACATGCCAACATGCCAACGTGCAACAGTCGTACGCCGCCTGCCTAATTGCATAATGCGCGCGTGCCTGTGGAGCTCCGTCAGAACCATCAGGTCGAGAGTTGGCGAAGTTCAGCCGGCAGCCCGGCAGCGGCATCAGCGGCACGGCTCAAGCTCAAAGAGCCGGTCAGGCACTCCCCTCGTCCCCTCGTCCCCTCTGGCACTCGCACTCCCACTCCGGCTGTCAACCTTGTGTCTCCTCAGGATGAAAGAGCGGAAGAGGGAGAAAGTCAACAACGGCACACGGTCAAGAATAGAACCCTTGCAGACTGGCGGATATCCGCTTCCGCGCTCGCAGGAGTTGGCAGGTACGGCAGGTGCGGTAGGCATCATATGGTCCCTGCAAAGCCAGTTGGAGGACAGCAGACTTGTCAATGGGGGCTGCGCACGGGCTTCCGAGCCTCTGCTCTCAGTTGAGGCTGCTGTTGAGGCACTAGTCACGTATTGGTTTACCGCGTTCAGAATGCGGGGAGGCAAGAGGGCAGCTGAGGATGCGACAATTCACCGGAATGACCTCTGTGGCTCGTGCGGCTATCCCAGTCACCGGACTGGCAACGGCCGGCTGGCCAGCAGGTACTCGCCGGGCACCCCTCACCGTTGACCGCTTGCTGGCTTGTCGGACGCCGGACCGGCTATCGTACGCCCAATACTCTTCGTGAGAATGACCAGGTCGATGCAAGCATGCGAGAAACACGAACCAGGTCCAAGGACCCGAGGAACCATGCCGGGCACTTTGGCACCAGATGGCACGAGATGGCATGACCGTGCTTGGCGCGATTTGGCACGCCCAGTGTGGTATCTCCCAACACGCACTGCACTCAACCAACACAACGCCAACAAGGTCCACGCCCCTGATCACCTGGCACTTTGGCTGCTGCTCATCGCACGCCCGTTCGCTTCCAGTGCTGCGTCAATTATATCCATTCATTCCGCATCTATCTACGCCGGGGACGCCCAGTAATGCTGAAGTGGTGTGTGTGGTGTGCACAGATTCTGTTGCTACAAGGGGTTGGGAAGAAAGGCAAAAAATATAGAGAACGAGAAAGTCGTACGCCCGCATTGAGCAGGCACAGAGCCAAATATACTAGTGGTGATGGTAAAATGCCGAGAGAGGGAGGAGGGAAGGGAGTGAGTTAGAAGTGAAGGAGAGTGGAGAGATGTTGAGTATGGGGGAGACGGAAAGTCAGTGTGGTGTTCGTGATGGGTGGTAGATTTTTGTGGTGACTAGGCGTGCGCGGTGGACGACAGTGAGAATGTTGGAAACATTAGAACAGCGACGGTGAGAGAGGCGGGATCGCGGGGTGATTCTTCCTCTGTTTTGACGTGTCTTCGAATAAGTAAAGGGGGCTTGGATGCGTTCGGATGCAATCGTGCAGCTCGCGCGAGATAAGTTTAACAAATCATACAGACAAAGCAGTATAGTTCGTCCTCTCACGGGGCTGAGAGATCTCTAGACTGCCGATGAAGAAATTGCGTTGATCCGAGCCGCCTCTATTGGGGTATGATGCAGGGTGTATACGTTCTCGAGTCGTTGAAATGGAAAAGGGGAAAGTGTTCACTGTTGACGGATCTCACGGGGAGGGGCGGCTTCGCGAAAGCTCTGGCTCGACGCTTCTAATTCTCGGCGCTCCAGCGCTCCCCAACCGGTCGAAGGGGAGGACATACTGCGCTCGTGCGAGTGGGCAATGGCGGCGCCCGACATGGAGGGCGCGGCGCGCGTCGACGCTGTTCGCATCGACACGTTCGAGGTGTTCGAGTGGTTGCCAAACTGCTGGCGGAGGTTGCGCGAGACAGTGATCCGCAGCTCCTGGCCAGTAAACGCGGCGCGGATGGAGTTCATAATCGCATCGTCGCCGAGCTTGATCTCCCACTGGGCGTGATCTGCATCTCGTCAGCTGCGAGTCCCACGTGTAGGGCCGAGGACCCCAAAAGGTAGCACACTCACCATTCTCATCCCACTGATCGGCAACAATGTGCAGCACCTGATGCCGACGCGAGACAATCGTGATGTCATTGATACTAGTGATGTGTCAGCACGTTTTGGTCCGAAGCGTCTTTCGGGAGAACTCACGAGAATCCCGGGAGCCACACGAGAACTTCGTACTGGGTCGGGGTGCTCTTGATCGCTATACGCCCCTGCTCGCCTTTGAGCACCTCAATGGGCTCTCCCGATGGGCCCTCGACAGTCTGCACTGGGTTGACGTTCGGCTCGGCCTCCGTATTCCGGTCGGCAAGACCACTCTCTAGTGACATGGCGCGCGTCTTCGAGGGCGGTTGCGCCCAACCAGGCGCAGCGACATTCGCACTGCCGCTCTTGTTGGATCGCGATGACCCTGATGAAGACGAGCTGATCACAGACAATCGTTCAGGGGCCTGTTCCGTAGCAGCTGCGATTGCTGGGGCAACTGGTGGTTTCAGTGGCGCGGCTGAAGCTATCGGATGTCCGGCTTGAGGCATCGGGTAGCCGACCGGCGGGGACATGGGGGCTGAGATGTAACATCCGGTCGTGGACGAGTGAACGGGTCGGAGGCCGGATTCTGTCGAGGCGGAATCCGACTGCAGCGAAGACTCGAGGCTGCTCGAGTGGTCCAAGCTGGACTGGGCGCTCTCAAGAGTAGGGTTCGAGGTCCCGCTACTTCTGATGATGGGGACCAGAACGCCAGGCGGATTCATGGTCGTCGTGAGGGAGGAGTTGGTGGCAGTTTGAAAATGGTGGTGGTGAGAAGATGATGACGGCGGTTGAACATAAGGAAGCGGCAAGTTGCATTCACGACATTGTGAGAGGGCGCATGTGTCAGTGACAGGAACGATACGAGACGGATGAGTTGGGGGGAGCGGAGCCGGCACAGGATCAGGATCAGATCAGGCGACGAGAAGGAAGAACGGACGGACGGACGGAAAGCGCACAATGGCCGCTGATGCATTGCTGAGCGAGCATCCGAGCCGATTGACACAATCCGCGCGCCGCACCGCCTGCACCTGGCACCTGGGCGACAATGACGTTTGGTGTCTCTCCAAGAAGAAACGCCACCAGGAACGACTGAAACTTCAAACTGCGAGACACCACTCCGCTCCAACCAACACGACTCACCTGTGATATTGACTTCGCCAGCTACCATTCTGATGCAGAGACGAGTCGTTGCTGATGGACGATTTCAGTCGTGCCTCCGGGCTCGTGGCCGTCGTGGTCATGCCGGTGGCAGCGTTCCAGTCTCCGGTGCTGACCAGTGCACGAAGTGAACCGTTTTCCAGGTTGTCCGTGAGGATGCTGGTGCTCACGAGCTCCGGGGTGGCAAGAACGGGTTGAAGGGAGGAGCGGGAGTCGGTCGAATCGAACGAGTTCGCCTTGGCGGAAGGATAGGGCAGCCTTGGTGGCGCGGCAATATCCATAATGTGTGGAAGATGTCCACGGCACGCGGACCTGGCCGACTTGGAGAGTTGTGACCGGCGACTTGCTTTGTTGTGGGGATGGGGAGGGTCGTCAACAACCTTGAGACGATCGGTTCGAATCAAAGCTGGAGGCTGGTGCGTGCGATGGTGGAATGAACACGCGAAGCTGTTGCTGACCAACAAAGGGAAGTAAGGGTCTGCACCGGAGGAAACTGCGTGACGGTACTAAAAAACAGTGCTGGTGTCGTCGCCGTGCACAGTTCTTCAATGAATAGATGACAGCTTTCTGGAGGTGTGAAGCCGATTGACCAAATGGACGATCGCGTCGGGTCGGGTTGGATTGTTGTTCGTGAACGGTCGTGAACGGTTCGATATGGCCGGGAATCGCACCCGGCCTCTGTTACCTATGATAGCAGCCTGGGTGGACCGTTTCGGGTGCTGAGCGATAGAGGGCGCGCCAGCGACAGATGGGGAAGATCTGTAAACCGTCGGGTTTAGGCCGATAGGAGGTGGTAGGGGATCGAAGGGATCGAAGGGGTGAGAGGCGACAGACGTGTTGTATGACGACAGCCGCGCAAAGTTAACGTAGACCGGCGAAAGTGGGTGGAGTGTTGGTGATGAATGGTATACAGGGAAACACCAGTGCCGGAATGTGAACGTATGCGCGACTGTGCGATATATGTGAGCGTGAAGCTACACTATATAACAGAGTCGATGAGCGCAGGCGGGAGACGCGGCGACAGGTGGGGTAGTCGGCGTCGGAAGG